TAGCCTTCCTGGCCTCTGGTAACAACCAATCTATTCTGTCTTCATTAGATCCACTTTTTCAGTTCCCACATATGAGTGAGAACATATGATGTTTGTCTTTCAGTGCCTGGCTTATTTCATTCAACATAATGACCTCCAATTCCATTCATTGGTACAAACGACAATATTTCATCTATTTTATGGCAGAATAATATACTCCATTGTGTATGTATACCACATTTCCTTTACCTGTTTATCCATTGATGGGCACTTAGGTTGATTTCATATTTTGGCGATTGTGAATAGTGCTGCAGTAAATGGGAGTGCAGCTATGTCTTCAATATATTGATTTCCTTTCTTTTGGATATATACCCAGTGGTATTTGTGGATCATATGGTAGTTCATTTTTAGTTTTTGGAGGAACCTCCATACAGTTCTCTAGAGTGGTTGTACTAATTTACTTTCCCACCAATAGTGTACCAGGGCTCTCCTTTCTCCACAACCTCACTAGCATCCATTATTCCCTGTCTTTCTGATAACAGCCATTTTAATTGGGGTGAGATAATCTCATTCTAGTTTTGATTTGCATTTCTCTGTTTATAGTGATATTGAACTTCTTTTGATATTCCTGTTGTCTATTTGTATGTCTTTTTTTGAGAAATGTCTGTTCATATATTTTGCCCATTTAAAAATTGGCTTTTTTTTTTTCTATTGAGTTGTTTGAGCTCCTTATATATTCTGAGTATTAATCCCATATCAGATGGATAGTTTGCAAATATTTTCTCCCATCAGGTAGGTTTTCTCCTCATTTTATTGATGGTTTCCTTTTCTGTGCACAAGCTTTTTAGCTTGATGTAACAAATTTGTCTATTTTTGCTTTGCTTGCCTGTGCTTTTGGGGTCTTTGCTCAGAAAGCAAAAAAAATCTTTGCTCAGAAAAATGTCCTTGAGGATTTCCTCAATGTTTTCTTCTAGTAGTTTCATAGTTTCAGGTATTAGATTTAAATTTTTAATCTATTTTGAATTTATTTTTGTATGTGGTAAGAAATAAAGGTCTAGTTTCATTCTTCTGCATTTGGTTATCCTAGTTTACCAAGCACCATTTACTGATGACACTTTCCTCTCCCCATTGTATGTTCTTGGCACCTTTGCTGAAAATGAGTTGGTTGCAAATGTGGGGATTTATATTTGGGTTCTCTATTCTGTTCTATTAGTCTATGCATCTGTTTTATGCCAGTACCATTGCTTTGCAGTATATTTTAAAGTCAGGTAGTGTGATGGCTTCAGGTTTGTTCTTTTTGTTCAAGATTGTTTTAGCTATTTGAAGTATTTTATGGTTTCATACAAATTTTAGTATATTTTTTTCAATTTCTCTGAAGAATGTCATTGGTCTTTGGTAGAACTTGCACTAAATCTGTGGATTCCTTTGGGTAGCATGGACATTTTAACAATATTAATTCTCCCAATTCATGAACATGAGATATCTTCCCATTTATTAGTGTCCCCCTCGATTTTTTCATTAATGTTTTATAATTTTAGAGATCTTTCATATTCTTGGTTAAACTTATTGCTAGGTTTTTCTTGTAGCTATTGTAAATGGGATGGCTTTTTTGATTTCTTTTTCAGATAGCTCACAGTGGCACATGGAAACTCTACTGATTTTTGTATGTTGATTTTATGTCCTGTAACTTTACTGAATCTGTTTTTAGTTCTAATGGTTTTTCTAAGATCATGTTGTCTGTGAATAAGGCTAGTTTGACTTTTCCCTTTCCATTTGGAATGTCCTTTTTTTCTTTCTTTTGCCTAATTACTCTAAGTTCTCTGGCCAGGACTTCCAGTATTATGTCAAAAAAAATGTTGAAAGTGGGAGTTCTTGTCTTGTTCCAGACCTTAGAGGAAAGGTTTTCGATGTTTCCCTGTTCAGTTTGCTGTTAGTTGTGGGTTTGTCATATGTGGCCTTTGTTGTTTTGCAGTATGTTTCTTCTATATCCAATTTGTTGAGGGTTTTTATCACAAAAGTATGTTGAATTTTGTTGAATACTTTTTCAACGTCTATTGAAATGATCATACAGTTTTTGTTCTTGGTTCTGTTAATGTGATGTATCACATTACTGATCTGCATATGTTGAAGTATTCTTGCATCCTGGGAAGAATCCCACTTGATCATGGTGAATCTTTTTAAATATGTTGTTGAATTTGGTTTGCTAGTATTTTGTTAAGGATTTTTGCATCTGTGTTCATCAGGGATATTGGCCTGCAATTTTCTTTTTTTGTGTGTGTGTCCTTTATTTCTCCTTCATATTGGAAGGATAGCTTTGCAGGTTACAAGTATTCTTGGTAAGCAGTTTTTGTTGTTGTTGTTGTTGTTGTTTCTTTCAGCACTTTGAAAATGTCATTTCACTCCCTGATGGCCTGTATGGTTTCTGCTGAGAAGTCTGTTGCCAGAAGAATTGGAGCTCCTGTATATGTTATTTGATTCTTTTCTCTTGCTGCTTTTAGGGATCTCTGTTTGTCCTTGACCTTTGAGAGTTTGATTATTATGTCTTGAGATCGTTTATTTGGGTCAAATCTGTTTGGTGTTCTCTGATCTTCCTGTATCTGGATATTTATCTTTTTCCCAAGTTTTGGAAAGTTTTCTATTATTATTTGTTTGAGTAAGTTTTCTAGTCCTTGCTGTTGCTCAGTTCCCTCTTGAACACCAATACTCCTTAGATTTGGTTTTTTGAGGTAATTTTCTGTATTTTATAGGTGACCTGTATTCCTTTTCATTCTTTTTTTCCTCCTTGTTTCTCCTTTGTGTGTTTTCAAATAACCTGTCTTTGAGCTCACTGATTCTTACTTTTGCTTAATCTGTTCTGCTGTTGAGAGCCTCTAATGCATTTTTCAATTCAGTAAATGTATTTCTCAGTTTCAAGATTTGTGGTTTTTTATACTTTATTTTATTTTATTTTTAAATTTTGAGACAGGCTTTCACTCTGTTCACAGGCTGTAGTGCAGTGGTGCAATCTTGGCTCACTGCAGTCTCCACCTCCTGGGTTCAAGCGATTCTCATGTCTCAGCCTACTAAATAACTGGGATTACAGGTATGTGTCACCATGCCCAGCTAATTTTCATATTTTTAGTAGAGATGGGGTTTCACCATGTTGACCAGGTTGGTTTCAAACTCCTGGCCTCAAGTGATCCTTCTGCCTCAGCTTCCCAAAGCGCTGGGATTCCAGGTGTGAGCCACTGCACCCAGCCTCAAGATTTGTGTTTTAAAAAACTACTTCAATATCTTTGTTAAATTTCTCTGATAAATTTTGGAATTGCTTTTCTGTGTTATCTTGGAGATTACTGAGTTTCCTTAAAACTGCCATTTTGAATTCTTGATCAGAGAGTTTATATATCACCATCTTGTTAGGGTCAGTTACTCGTTCCTTGCTTTGTCCATTTGGGGCAGTCATAGCACTCTACTGGCTGCCGTTTCTTGTGGATGTATGTCTATGTTTTTGCATTGAAGGATTAGTTATTTATTCCAGTCTTCTTTGGCTTGTTTTGCTTTTTATTGGATATGTTTGCTTAGAGATTCTTTGTAATTTATCAGTTGATTTTCTCTCTTCTGTTTCCACTGCTAGGTTGCTGCCTCCTTTTTGGCACTAAATGGTGTCTTAAGCCTGGATTTGCCTTGGTTCTAGTAAACAACCAGAGTGCCACCAGTACTGAATGGGGCAGGTCTCAAGGGGGATATCCTGGTAGTATGGAAAGGCTGGTTAAGAGTTTATGCCCAAGGACATGTGGAACAAACCTACAGTGTGGTGCTGCTGAACAGCCACTCTAATTTGGTGTCTTCTTTGGCTGAGAGCAGTTTTCACAGCTGGAGATGGCAGTCCTGCCTCCTCAGTTTCCTTAGGGCGATTTCTCCTTTCAAGCACTCCCCATGCATCCTGTGGTTTGAGGCAGGGACAGGTCTCCTGACAGGGAACCAAGAGGGTAGGCAAGCTGGTTGTCCACCCCAACTCACTTTTTCCAGTATAGAAACCATGCGTCAGGGGAAATTTTCCATGCATTTTGTGCTAGGCAGATTGGGGAAAGGGGTGTCACAGATATGGAAGTCCAAGTCTCTTACCATCTGCTTGGAGTTTTTTTAACTTCTCTGAGGCCAGGAGAACTTTCTCATCTTCATATTTGAGTCGTAATATATTGCTAGTGATAGTCTCAGCACTGTATATTTGATCTTGGTTTTCTCTGGGGGTGAGTGAAGCCAGCTTGTTTCTACACCAGCTTGTTTCTACACTTGTTTCTGGTTCTGCCATTTTAGAACCAGAAGTCTCCACAATTTTAAATAGAGTGGTCTGTCTGGGTAGACTTTACTGGGAAGAAGACATGACAAAGAGGAAAATCTGAGCAAAGATTTGGCCTTAAATGTAAATAGACTTGGCACATTTGAGGAATGTTTCAGAGACCAGTGTGGCTGGACTGAGGGAGAGAGGGTGAAAGAAGCGAGAAAGCTGAAATTGTTTGCTGTTGGAAGGAGAAAATTAGAAGTAAGGAGGGTTTGGGCAGAAGACTGCTGTTCATAAGGCATGTAAAATCATTTCCTTTTTCAATTTTGGACATGTTAACTTTTGTAAAAATAGAGCTTAAACTTAAAAATTATAAATCACAAAATGCAATGTGATATCCTGAATTGGAACAGAAAAGAATGTTAGTGGAAAAACTGGTGAAATCTGAATAAAGGCTAATCATAATGTACCTTTTTTTTTTTTTTTTTTTTTAAGCAAATGTACCATGTAATATAACATGTTAACATTAGGGGAAACTAGGTAAGGGGTATATGATAATTCTCTGTATTATCTTTGCAACTTTTCTGTAACTTATGTAAAATTATTCCAAAATAAGTTTATTTTTAAAAAGCCTTTAAAACAACCAAAAAATTGAATCAGCTGAGAAAATGCTGCCTTTTCCCTTTCCCCAATTCCAAGCCTTGTACTCTTTCCTGGGTTTTAGCAGTTGGTCATTACCAGGTAGGAGGATGTGATTTACCTGTGGACCTAGGCTGATCTCCAGGTGGAAGGAAAAGGGCCAGCAGGGAAGGCTCTGTACATCATATCTGTGGAGCATCCAGCTCGCAGCTTCTTGGTGGGTGACATTCAGAAGCTGAGAAGCAGAAACCAAAACAGAGGCATTTATGCAGGGGAAAACCAAAACCAAAACCAAAAACATTAATGTGTAATTCCCATAAGTTCTTTTGTTTGTTTGTCTGTTTGTTTTTTGAGACAGAGTCTCCCTCTGTTGCTCTGGCTGGAGTGCAGTGGCCCAATCTCGGCTCACTGCAGCTCCACCTCCCGGATTCAAGCCATTCTCCTGCCTCAGCCTCCCGAGTAGCTGGGATTACAGGCGCCCGCCACCAGACCCGGCTAATTTTTGTATTTTTAGTAGAGATGGGGTTTCACCATGTTGATCAGGCTGATCTCAAACTCCTGATCTCGTGATCCAACCGCCTCGGCCTCCCAAAGTGCTGGGATTACAGGTGTGAGCCACCGCGCCCGGCTCCCATAAATTCTTAAGAAAGCAGAGTAGGCCCGGGCGCGGTGGCTCACGCCTGTAATCCCAGCACTTTGGGAGGCCGAGACGGGCGGATCACGAGGTCAGGAGATCGAGACCATCCCGGCTAACCCGGTGAAACCCCGTCTCTACTAAAAAATACAAAAAACTAGCCGGGCGAGGTGGCGGGCGCCTGTAGTCCCAGCTACTCGGGAGGCTGAGGCAGGAGAATGGCGTAAACCCGGGAGGCGGAGCTTGCGGTGAGCTGAGATCCGGCTACTGCACTCCAACCTGGGCGACTGAGCGAGACTCCGTCTCAAAAAAAAAAAAAAAAAAGAAAGAAAGCAGAGTAACAAATGTATCCTTGCAAGACTTTACTTCTTAATCTCTGTCTCTAGAAATCTGTAGTTATTTCTAATAATGAGTAATTTCAAAGTAGAAATAACCCCAGATCCTTGATTGAATAGCTTTTTTCCTCTCTGCAGAGCTTCCTAAATCTTTTTGGTGGCTGTGCCTGTTCAGGTGCTTCTGCAGTTGATGCTAAAATATTTCCTTATGTTAATGCTTTCCATGTATAATTTTACATTCTTCAATGTATGAATTACTAGAAATGTGCTTTAAAAAGTTTTACATAATTATTTAGTGTGGAGCCAGCAAAAAAAAAAAAAAAAAAAAAGGTGGTGAGAAGAAGAAGAAAAAAGTAAAGAAAAATAATAAAGACAAAGCTTAATTTTTGGTGACTACTGCCTCCTACTCCTCTCTCTGGCAAGTCTTTTTTTGAGTTTTGAGGAAATCCTTTTCTGTTCATGCCTTTTCCACATATTCTACCTTCATCCTCAATTCTTCTCTATTGTTCAGGCTCTTGGGATTAAAATCCAGGAGGGAAAATATTTTGCATACTATTTTTATATTCTACCCGATGACATACCTCCTCTGAGATGGAGCAGACTACTTCTTAAAGTGGGCTGAAAGAAAAAGGGAAAAAGAAATGAGAGAGAGAAAAAAAAAGATGGACATTTCAGCATATCATCCAGCCACATTTAGTCCACTTTTCTTGCATCTAAGAGTCTACCCAACGTATTCTCTGGGATTGTTAGCAGTTAAGTGATGAACAATGAGCACTCTGAGTTTGTTTTGATTTTATTTGTGTTCTTCATGCCTTTTAAAAAAATCACATAAGAAATATATTTATCGTACATCCTGGCTAACATGGTGAAACCCTGTCTCTACCAAAAAAAAAAAAAAAAAAAAAAAAAAATGAGCCAGGCATGGTGGCGGGTGCCTGTAGTTCCCTGGAGGCTGAGGCAGGAGAATGGTGTGATCCCGAGAGGCAGAGGTTGCAGTGAGCCGAGATCATGCCACTGCACTCCAGCCTGGGCGACAGAGTGAGACTCCATCTTAAAAAAATCAATCAATCAATCAATAAAAATAAATATATTTATTGTAGGAAACAAAAAAAAGTGATAGCAAAATTATTAAAATAAATTAAAAATCACCTGTAGTCTCAGAAATACAGAAACATTCATCTTCGTCCAACATACCACCAACCACTCAGTGCCAGAAACCAACACATGCAGAGAAATAGAAACAAGGGATGAAGCCCTGAGCGTGTGACCCTGAAGCTACGGAAGCTTCTGAGACCCAGCTGGCTATTCTTCTTTTGGCTTTGTGGTTTCACGTTTTCCCATCACATTAATTTTCTGTATTGAATGACACTCTTTTGGTTGTGACAAAAACCCAACTCGAATTTATTTACTAAAAAACAAATAGAAGGCTGGCGTGGTGGCTCACGCCTGTAATCCCAACACTTTGGGAGGCCGAGGCCGGGGGATCATGAGGTCAGGAGATCGAGACCACCCTGGCTAACACGGTGAAACCCCGTCTCTACTAAAAATACAAAAAATTAGCCGGGCGTGGTGGCGGGCACCTGGACTCCCAGCTACTTGGGAGTACAGGAGTGGCATGAACCCAGGAGGCAGAGCTTGCAGTGAGCCAAGATTGTGCCACTGCACTCCAGCCTGGGTGATAGAGTGAGATTCTGTCTCAATAAATAAATAAATAAATAAATAAGTAAATAAATCGAAACAGGATGCCTGCTCAGATTTCGTAAGTTTGAATACCACCTCCACGTGGTCTTTGGCATATTAACCTCTAAAACCCTCTGCTTTCTCATCTGGAAAATGGTACCTATGTTCTCTGGAGATTGTTATGGGAATTGAATAAGATAAGAAACGGGCCTAGCACATGTTAATCACTTAATACAAGGTGCTAGTCTCAGCAGTAATTGAGTAGTATCTGGTCCCCCGAGTGGAGGAAGTTGTGTTGTTAGCATGTTATTCCTAGAGGAAGTTGGAAGGCAGATAACAGAGGGAGTGAGGCAGGCCTTTTCTTTCTCACATGTGCACACCTGTGAACTCCACCATGACCTGCTGTAAGAATTGCTGGTGTAGACAGCCATGCTGCTAAAAACCTCCTCCACCATGATTCCCCCCAGGGAGCACAAGAGGCCCTGACTATTTCTTGACTAATGGTCAGGCCACTGTAGCTAGAGTCCAGAAGAACCTCAAACTTCATCAGTAATGAGGGGAGATTTTTTGCCACAGGTTATCTGGGGGAGCCAAGAGCTCTGCAGTTTGAGATAGTGGTTTCAGATCTATGGAGACACAAAAAGTCATGTAAGATAAGTCTGAGAGTTCAGGTCTGTTCATTCTACTGAGGGTACAATTGCACATTGTATTTATGTCCTGTGCCCATCTTTTTGTCTTTTTTTTTTCCCAAATCAAATTCATTTTGAGGGGGGATATTTAGCATCTGGTTAAAAAAGGTTACGAAAAACCAGCCAAAGTCCGGTAAAAAAAAAACCTCTTTGGAAATGACAACCTTAATCTCTGGTTTGTAGATCTTCATTGCTCTTACTAAATGTTCAAAGGGTTTTCCGTTTTTGTTTGTTTGTTTGGAGATTAGTATGCACACATGAATTAGGGAGTATTCCTCAAATCAGGAAACAGGAGGAAAGCAGGATTGGGCAGAGGGAGAACTTGGCTCTGATGTTGTTACAAAGCCCTCAATGAATCCTGTAGAGAGTGATGAAGCTAGACGTGACTTTCAGAGTTGTGCAGAGCTGGGGTAAGAAGGCCAGGCCTCAACCCCTTCACACCCCAACCCCCACACTACCTAACTGGATGGACATTAGGTGTGATGTTCAAAGGATCTTAATGGAATAGTTGTTGAAACAGATCTGAGATGCAGTAAATTTTGGTGTGCAGAATCAAGTCAACATTGCCTCAATCAGAATTTGTTATGAACAAATAGATCTGGCTTGAGACAGCCTAGTTTGAAAATATACACAGGCTCAGAAGGGACTCGCTGTTTCTCACCAAGTCCTAGGTTAGGCAATGCCACTGTAAGGTGATTGCTCCTCCCAGGCACCAGGCCTGTAGCCCAGGTAAAGCTGCCACTTGTGTGAATAGCAAAGGCTGGCTTTTGGACTTATGATCCAAGCAGACAGGTTTTTCCCAAGTATGATTAACTGAGTAATAAACTATCACATCCTGTATAACCCACTGTGTTTTTTTCTGACCAAAATAAAACTCTCCGTTAAAACTGAACAGCAATGAAAATATTTCTAATCTCTACCTTACACACAAGGCAGCCTGCAATTTAGAATAAGATTTAAAGAGATAGAAACATCTCCTAGTTTTTATTTATTTATTTATTTAATTTTATTTTCCCTCCCCCTGCCGCCACCGATCTGCTTCAGTAGTTGGAAATCTTTGTTTAATCTGACTCCAGGTCTTTCTTTATGTTTGAGAAAACATTCAGACTGCATCTTCTGTGGCTTCTGTATGTCCCAGTTGCAACTTCAAGAACCCTGATCAGTGCCGTCAAAGTTGTAATTTAAAGCTCTTGGGAGGCCCAGGCTTTCTCTGTATTAGACAGTTACCAGTCCTCATTATCAAACCACTCATCCCCTTTGTTGCTCTGTATAATAGAAAAAGCAGCTTCCTGCTCCTGGTGACTTGGCAAAACACTGAATAAGAGAGAGAGATTATGGCCGTAGCAGGTGTGCACAGCAGGGTCCTTCCCAAACCTCCTCTCCTCTGAGCCTTCTCTAATCAGGAGTCATTGGTTTCCCTTTTCAAAGGAGCCGGTCTAGTTGGCCTCATCCCAGGGTCTACTTGGCCTCATCCCAGGGTCAAGAGTAGCTCAATTATTAAATTCAGTGACAGAATGTAGCAGCTCTTCCTGCTGGAACGTTTCCAGACTACTTCCACCCCAGCCATTAATTTCTTGAAATTAATTTTTCCTTTTATCTAAGCAGTACACACATAGCTTTAAAAGTTAATGACAGAAATCTCCTATGAAAAAACAGCAGTTTCCTGCCTCATCCACTCCTTAACTCAATTTAAGTTTTTTTCTCTGCTGTTTATCTCTATTTTTATTCTATATGATATGTGCATACCATTGGTTTGAGGCATCAATTTTAAACTTTATCTTTTGGCTTTCTCATGAACTACAAGAGATATAACTTTCTTTCTGTTCCTCACCCCCATTTCCTGCCCCGCTTTCTGCCAATATAGCTATACTATATTGTTGCTTTGATTAAATCTGAT